CACTCCGTGATACCATCGAGGACTACCCCATCTCGCGTTCAGCTCGACACCTGTAATATCAAACTTAATAATCCTTAATAATCTGAATTTCTATAACCTACTTTCATTATAATTCTAAATTCTAGGAGCTCAAGTGTCATTTCGATTTTTATCTCCGGGCGATTAATGCGCCGGGGCAGTTTCGATTCATCGATTGCACCTCGACGCAATAAAGCCGTTGTAAGGGAGACCGTAAAGCGGCTTCCTGGGGGTGGAGGCGCTCGGGGGTGGTTGCCCCCGAAGGACTACGGTCCGAGGAGCGTCGTCCATCATTCGCGAAACCAGAGGAACCCTGGAACCGAGGGAACCCAAGGAACCCCGGGAACCCGAGGAACCCCGGGGTTCCTGGGGGTTGTGTCGGCAAGAGAGAGATCTGCATACCGAGCCAGCATCTCGGCCCGAGCGAGCTAAGTGCGGGATTATGCAAAACAGCGGCCATACAGTATAAAAATACGGAGCGACTCCGCGCCATCTTTTCCGGACCATTCTAATAACTTCCCTCCCCCCTGCCCCCCCGACTACCCCGGCGAATCCGCGAATAAGATTTTCCACCATGAAAATAACCGTAAAGATGTCCGCGCCGCTGGGGATTTCACTAAATAAATCCACCCTCCCCCCGATATTCAGGGGATTCTCCTGAATTTATCTCCCCGAAATTTTGCGAAAAGTTCAAAAAATGCCGCCGGAAGGTCCTGACTGTTCCGCGAAACTTTGAGGCGTGGAATTGAATTCCTGGATTTTTTTTGGAGATGCGTCATTTTTAATATTCCGATTTTTCATTCGGATTTCCTTCTTGTGTTTGTTATTATTGGATTTTTGTAGCGTCACGAAATTGGTCCCTTCCTGCAGGGAAGCCTCGAGATCATCAATTCGAATTAAATCCGTGTTAGGAAGGCGCTTTTAAGAGCTTTCAAACACATGGCGAGGAGCTTCGTCGACTCATCGGCATGATGAACGAGGTATGAATATTTAGTCGCGTCGTTAGTCCGGACTAGACTCGATGGGTCGACTCTCCCTATTGTTGGATTGTGCGACATCGTCATCGCGTACCAATCGGGGACAATCTGCCCTGAAAGGAAGAGAAAATATATATAACTAGAAAGTGGTAAAAAAATTAACATCACCACCCTAGGGGGAGGGAAAAGATATCTGGCGGTCTTCGAAAATCTCTCTTGGGTTTCTTAGTTAAGAGATCCGGAGCTGCGAGTTCGGTCTTAATTCAAGGCGGAAAGTTCTCGCTCACGCCGCTCACGTTTTCGCGAGTTCCACGGAACGCCGCGCGGAATGATAGCGGCCATGATAACGCGTAGTAGCGCGACATTAATTCAGACACCCTCGCTCGACTTGGTAACGGCACGCAGAAACATCCACCCCGTGGAATATCGGGGCTGGTTTCAGCCTTTTGGGTAAGGCATTCACGTAACGCATAAGCAACGACACGGCCGCAGCCACCGTGTGCACAGAGATAACACAGGAAGTGCCATCTTAGCTGGAGTCTTCGAATTAAATTCATACGCGTCCCTTCGGGGCGAACGAGGGCCTTTTACGGCTCCAGAAAATTCGACCCAACTCTGGGACCCTTGCCACTGAAAATTCGTTAAACTTCGGATATTTATGAAAATTAACATTTATTAGGGACGTTTATAGTGGAAGGTAATATTTTTAAAATACGTGTTTGATCAAACTAGTAATATTTGAAGTATTTTTAGCTTATTGGAGCATTTTTCGAAGACATCTCTTAGCGAGTTCTTGCAGGTACTTCCAAGATGGCGGCGCGCGCGGCCCGTTTATGCATGGCCGGCGTGATAAGTCAAGGAATTGCTCGGGCTCCCGTGAAATCTAAATCTCTCCCACTCATCTGAAGAATCTTCCCGGCAGAAAGTCGCAGCTCTCCCTCTTTATTTCAGCAATCCTCTGAACTCATCACACGTTCAATTTGTCAGCGACTATCTCCTTCTGTCCCGTCGCGCTCGTTCTCGAAATCGCGCCGGCGGAGCCTCGAGTCTCACTCCCGAAAGTTTACAATTCTTTCAGGCGTGAATATTTTAAAATAAGGGCTTTTTCGCTAAATTAAGGTGAGTATCTTTTAATGGAGGGTGACGCAACGAAAAATGGCGGACGACGCGAGGCAGCCGCGGCCGCCATTTTGAGGGCGAGACGATTAACGCGAAACGGTAATCGATGGCCCCGATGAGGAAAGCTCGTCCATCAAATCCCGGATTAATTCGCCCATGTTCCTTCGCTTGCAGCTTCCTCGAGTCTGGGAAAACCTGCTCTTCATCGAACCTCGTTCTCGGGGCGGCCATATTTCTTCGCGGGGTGGCGGATAAACAGCCACCCTCGAAGGTCGGCGTTAAGTGCACCTCTTTATTTTAGATCTTTTTCTCCCCAAGCCTCGCTCAATCGATGGGAACCTCTTTATTCTCCAAGGCACCCCTTTAGTTCGGATATCCGGATATCAGAGTTTGCGGCAACCCCTTGCGCCGATTTTCAGGCCTATTTTAATCTCGCCAGGTGGAAAGTCGAGTCGTTGAAAAAATTGAATAACGTCAAAATGGCCGCCGAGGTGTCGTCTTGACAGGGAAGGGGGATGGACAAGGGGTCTCCCTGGTGTACATAAAATGACAGAGTGCTAACTGCACGCACGTGTCGGTCGCGTGTCGACGAGCGTGCGACCCTGCATTTAATTCTTGCGAATTAGTCCAACTGTGCCACGACTTGTTAATCCGCGGTCAAGGAATAATGGAGCCACATGGCGGCCATCTTTCAACTAAAATCGGTTCTACTTAAAATCCTCCTTAAAACTGTCAACTCGACATCGTGAAACTACTCGTGGACGAGGATAACGTACTTTTCGAATTGCCCTTTTTTTTTTTTAATGCGGCAATAGATATATTGTGAATAATTTTCGCCTTCATACGGGGAACCTATCGAATGGACGACTTCTGCGGGGTTCGGGGACTCGGACTAACTTTGGGTGGAATTAGGGGCGCTCGCTAGGGTGAGAATTTGGTAATAAATCTCGATTCTAATCCTCGAATGGTTAGCGAGATACAGGGAGTCCTCGAGGCGTCCTGTAGAGAGACGCGTGCCTTCCCGAAGTCACCCCTAAATTGTCATCGGCAATTATTGCTACAGATTGACGTTGCTCCTTGGGTCTCTCCCTTCATGGAGGTCACGTTACCGAACTGGGGCGAAAGCTAGAAAATCTGGACCGATCCGATAAATCTTAACAAACGTGTTCCTAATTCTTCCCTTTTATTTCAGAGTCCGAATTTGCCGAAAAAGTGGAAAAACAGGGGCAAGGGGAGCGTCGTAATTTCGATCGAAGGTGTTCCAACGGCGATCGAAAAGTCATTACAAGTTTTTGCGCAGCCAATCAGGAAGTTAATGTCCTTTGACCCCGAAATTCCCAAAAGGACGCCGGGCGTCGCCGCATCGGCAGGAAGAAGTCGACGGCTCTCACATGCCCGATAAAATGGATTGCCGGCTTATGATTGATCGCCCATCGACCAACGACCAGGCTTTTTCCTCGCGTTTTTCCTCCGTTTTTCCTCCGCCCTGGCAGAACGGTTCCACGCCAGTTAAGTACCCTCGAGGTGAACGCCGTACATCCTATCGAAGAATTGAAATCGTAAAAGAGAAAAGAAAAAAATCCCAGGACTGAAGAAATTATTTCATGGAGTTTACATGGAATTTGGGAATTCTCCGATTCTCTCCCAGGAATCCGACTAGGGGAGCACCAAGAGGGTGGGAAGACGAAATTGATTCGGGGTGCGAAAATTTTCCAAAATGTCCGAACTCGCTCTCTGGAACGGTCAAGGTGGCCTTATGTGGAGCGTTGCACTCGATTTAACGCGGCTCGTTAGTCGATCCTGATGGAAGCTGATGACGCAAGATAGCCCCTTAGAGTCTGGCTGGACCACTCGATAAAGTAGGGTTAGGGGTTGTCAGCGCGGCCGAGGACGAGGGGGAGATCGTGGTCACCTAACCTCCCCGCCACAGTACCATGAATCTTTAATATCCCCATCTTGAGTGTCAAAAAATGGCCGGGTAAAAATTCGAGCGATTCGAGTACCGCAGTTGAAAATTTAGAAAAACCTCCCTTGGAAAATTCAGTCACAGCATCCCCTTCGCCTAGGCACCGCGTCCCCTGGAAACCGATCTAAAAATCATTCCATCCGCAGGGAGGAGCGTGCAAGGTGCCGTACATGGCCGTACAAGGTATATGTAGCCACCCCCACGGCAGGGTGGGTCGGCAGGGGTGACTGGTGTTCGAGGTCCTTGTGTCTCTGCGCAGAGCGCGGCACATGTGTCGAACCTGAAATATCTAGGCGTGGCCAGGGTAGAGGCGAGCAGACGCACCCCGACGACCGAATATGTTCACCCCCGTGGAACGCTCCACCCCCGAGCGGCAGCGATTGGTCGGTGCGACCCTCGGCCGCCTCCACGGCCTCCGGCTCCAGGGGAAGTAACCCCTAAAAGCGGCTCCGCGCGCTGCAAGACCTCATTTTAACGCCGTCGGCTCTGCGGGGCTCCTCGAGTTCCACGTCTCTCCGGATTCCTCGCAGAGTTCGCCGAGAAACAGTGGCCGCGAGTTCGGGTAGTTCCAGTGTCCGCGCCGATGACCTCGCGACCTCGATCTCGAGGGGCGACCTCGACACCTCGACCTGACCACTCCGCCTGGACAACCTGGTCCTCGCATTGGAAGTGCTAGGTAAGTCTACGAAGTTAGGATAAATTTCATGAGGTCGATCAGACTCGACCTCGATGAGGTTAAGATAGATTCGAGGGAAGGATTGTCCGGCTGGATCGATTGGGTTCGTTATGTCGACGCGTTGCATAAGGGAAGCGAGTTCTGGCGAGGTGTAGAATTTTTCGAGGTCAGGGGTTGAAAGGAGGTATCACCTCGACCTCGAGTAACGTCAGGCCTGTGTGAATGTCCAGGTCGCGGCGACACGATGACAATGGAAGATCGCTCAGGAGAGCTCGATCGCGCCGCCCCGGGGTCGACGACAACCTCGACCTCTTCGGACGCCTCGTATCCGGTCCAGCGGGCGAGCAAGAGGTCATTCGACGTGGCCTTCCTAGTGGCGCCGGACGAGAACCTGGCCCGTCGCCAGAGCGAGAAGCTGAGATTGGTCTCGACGGAGAGGTTGGTCGAGGATCGGCGGGACGACCTCGACGTGGAGAGGTCACCTCAGAACCTGACCATCAAGCACTACGACCTGGACAGGCAGCGGTCGCTGCACTGCACGGAGAACTCGCTGAGCCCTCCGTACACATCGAGGTTGACCCCGACCTTACCAGGCCTGTCGCCGGAGCCGGAGGTCAGGAGGTTCGCCCTGGGGAGGTCGCAGAAAAGCCCCAGCCCTCCGAGTTTCATCTGCCAACAGAGCGTCCCCTCGAAAACGCAGGACTCGGACTCTGTCCTGCTGACCTCGAAACCTTACGACCCGGTCAGCTGCTCGGAGAGGACGGAGTCGAGGAGCGCCTTCACTAAGGTCAGTCTGGCGGGCCAGAGAAACGGATACGACGAGAGTCAGACCTCACCGAGGTCGTCCATCTCACCGGACCACGGAAGCTACCGCAGCAGCGTGAGCCCGCCCGTCGGACCTCTTCCTACCCCTCCGACCTACAAGTACGCGACCTTCCCCACGAAGATGCCCTACCCCTTTCTGGTAGGCTCGGAGGGCCCACAAGGTAACCTCCTAGAGAACCTCAAAATCCCTCAGGTCGGTCAACCTCCCAAGGTCCCCAGTCCGAAGGTCCCAGCGTTTCGTCCAGAATTACCTCCGGTTTATCCTAACCTCCCTTACAGTCCCATTTCCGTGTTTCCACCAATGGCGGACGCCTTGGCCCGACCTCGATTTCTGGCCACCGCGGGGGTCGCTGGCCTCATCCCGCCCTCCTTCGCCGCCCTGACCTTGCCGGCTCAGAACGTCTGCGCCAAGTGCAACCTCTCATTCCGCATGACCTCCGACCTCGTCTACCACATGAGGTCGCATCACAAGAACGAGAACGCCGGAGAGGCCGCCAGGAGGAGGAGGGAGGAGAAGCTGAGGTGTCCCGTCTGCGATGAGAGCTTCCGGGAACGACACCACCTCACCAGACACATGACCGCTCATCAGGACAAGGAGAGCGACGCCATCGCCGATCAGGTCGAGGTCAAGCGAAGGGCCGCCACCGTGCATGGCAAGTGACGGCGCAAATCCCTCCTCGACGAGGTCGCTTTCTCCGGCTGCGCCTTCGAGAACTGAATCTTAAATTTATCCTTAATCCTTAATCTAACCTCGAACGTCACGTGAGGTCGAGAGTCGACACGACGCGAGTCAGGAGGAAAACGAACCTCCCAAGATGACCCGACCTTACGAGACTTGTGATTATCCGTAGAAGTTAGGAAACCGTTGGTAAGGTCGAGGTCGACGAAGGTTAACCGCCGTCAATGTTAATCCTAGTCTGTAATTCGACTGACTGTCGAAAATTCCCTCTCTAGTCAATATTAGATAGAGAAATTTGTACATAGTTAGTCTCGTCGACGCCTCTTGAGGCCGTCGACGAGGTAAGAGTCCTCCAGGTCGAGGTCCAAGTTTCGAGGCCGCTAGAAGACCTTTGCTGTCGAGGTCTCTGAGGTCGGGAAACCGGACTTTCATTCGGCAAATAATCCCGTCGAGTGATCAGGTCGAGGTCGAGGTCCGAATGCGTTGGGAGACCTTACTGTCGAGGTCTCAGGTCGGGAAACCGGGCTTTCGATCTGCAAATAATCGCCCCGGGCGATCAACGGCGCGGTGAGTTCGCGCAGGCCGCGCAATAAATAGATCGTAAACCGCAACGCGTCACACGTAAACCGGCGGGGCGCGCATAATGGTAGGAAACAATGAATGCCGTAATCGGAAACAGTGCCGGTTTGTTATCTGCCATTTACACTCCATTTAACTTCAAACAGTGAATCGGCCTGCGCGGGCACTCGCGTTTTAAATACACGCGACCTACCACCGCCACCCCCTACCGGGCCGCCCGCCTCACCAACCCCGCCGACCGCCCAGCCCAATCCTCCGCCTCTTCCGCCCACTTCCGCTCTCCTCCACCTTCCCTCGTCCACCCCCGCAGGCCGGCTTAACATAGGGTTAAGCATCCCCGCAAATGGTTTAATATTGTCCCGAAATTACGGGATTTATCGCCGAGGTAATGTCGCGCCTTTGTGGATCGCCCTGCCCTCCGATAAATGCTATCGGGCACTCGAAAACTCCCCAGCGGTTCTTCAGAAATGATTCGCACTAAAATTGAAAATCTTAAATTAATTAAATTAGAGATTCTTCAGAAACTATTCGTATTAAAGTCGAAAACCTTGGATTACTTATATTAATTTGGTAAGGTGAACTAATGATCAAAAATCAAGCTACACCGGACGCGCAGATTTCTGGCGAATTATTTCGGTACCTATTGTTGAAACGTGTTTTTTAGGGACAATGTGTAAACCATTTGCGGGCATATCCAGCAATATCTATTCACTGTAACATGAATGTCTCATTGAACCAAGGATTACCGTCGCGCAATGTCCCGTGACCGTCTCCGTTGTAAATAATTATGGGAAAGTACTCCCCTACCCGTTCGACTTATTTCATGGGACTTGCGCGATGGGTCCGAATTCTTAAAAGTATAGTCAGCCGTGTAACCAAGGCACTACAGTATTCTGTATAGCAATAATTACGATAACGTGTAAATAGTAGTCGACACGATTAAGGCCCATTTTCGTGAATCACGTCGGTACTATTTCCGAGATTTACTCCTAATTCCTCGTCATGGGAAACGATGGGGTACGTTGTTCCCTCTTTAGAGTAGACCCCTGTAAAGTGTATCCATATTCGTAAACTCGGTCGACCGAGTATTGTTTCGTTTGACAAATATTATTTATTTCGAGCGCCTACGCATATATATTAATATATTTCGTTTTGTCACATCTCTATCTGTAAATATACCACACGTGTACATAAAAGGCACTGTATGTGTTGTTAACGAATAAAAGGAATATAGGTAAAAGAAGGGCAGACTTCAAACGTCCGGAATAACGCATTCCCTTCGATCCTCCCAATCCTGCAAAAGGAAAAAGAAATTCATTTCGGCGAGGGTGGAGGACAGTATGGCCGAGTTCAGATAACGCCTTCCAAGAAATTAATTTTCGGCCGTCCCTCTTCCAGGATCTCCCGCTCAATATTTTACTCACCTGCCCGCTCATCGATAGATCATAGAAAGCAGCTTTCCGCAGTACGCTGAGTCGCTGCTGCCAATTTTTTATAGGGTACCTCTTCTTCGATCTGAAATTTACATTCGACAATTATTCCGGAACAAAGGAACGATTAATACCCATACCTTGGCACAAATTCTTCGTCCCTGTTCCTGTGGCTCGATTCTAGTTCATATGGATTTTTTTTCGCATATGAATAATTCCCATGAAAAATGGTGTCCCATTGCGAAGTCGCGTCATTGGTCAGCATTTGAAAGTCGTACACGAAATTGTCAATTCTGTATGTAATCAATTCGTATGAACTCGAGAATCGAGTTTATCCTACGTCAACCGTGGAGAAGAAATTAGCAGACTTCACCCCTTTCGCCGTGTCGTCGTACCGTTTATCCCTAATCCTGGCGGAACCGCAGCCAATAGGACAAACAATCTCTTAGCGGCCTCCAGGGCTTAAGCGCGCCCCCGCACGGTAAGTGTACTTACCCTCTGCCCGAGGTCCATAAAGATAAATAACATCTCCCCGCGCTACTTTCGCCCCTCTCCAGGTCGCCCCCCACGAGGCCGATTCCCCTCCGAGAGCGTCCCGCCCTTGTTAGCGATACTTTCCCTGGCTGCGTGGAGAATCGCGCGCAGGGTTCTTCTCTCGGCGAAATAACGACAATGTCATAGCTCCGGGCCGATTCGCCGCGGAGCTGCGCCACGTGGCCTAGGATTGGACGCGGACATGCTAATATGGCGCTCGTTCCGAGACATTAACCTCAAAGCTCGGATCTCGACGAGTCGCCGCGTCTTGGTCCGGCCCGGTGTCGAGGGCCTCGCCCGCTGCGTCCAGCGAGAACGGCCACAGCGCTTTGTTCTCGGATGACTCTAGGTGCATTGTCAGAAATTTCGGCAAGACGAATCAGGGGTTTCGAAGAAAAAGGGTTGATCTACTCTTCCGATCCCTGGGAAGTACAGCGACATTTATAGAAAAGGAGAAAAAGAGCAATTTAGCGCAGGTCGGCGGCGGCGTTGCGCTTCGCTCGTGCCTAATAACAAACAAATTCAAAGTACAAAATATCAAAAAACTGGCAAGATCAAAAGTACCGTTGAAATTTTGGGTTTAGACTTTGCTGTTACCACTTTCTGGGAGACCAAGTCCAAGAAGATAGATTTTGCTCATCACCGGTCATGCCTCGGCCACAGCGCTTTGTTCTCGGATGACTCTAGGTGCATTGTCAGAAATTTCAGCAAGACGAATCAGGGGTTTCGAAGAAAAAGGGTTGTTCTACTCTTCCGATCCCTGGGAAGTACAGCGACATTTATAGAAAAGGAGAAAAAGAGCAATTTAGTGCAGGTCGACGGCGGCGTTGCGCTTCGCTCGTGCCTAATAACAAACAAATTCAAAGTACAAAATATCAAAAAACTGGCAAGATCAAAAATACTGTTGAAATTTTGGGTTTAGACTTTGCTGTTACCACTTTCTGGGAGACCAAGTCCAAGAAGATAGACTTTGCTCGTCACCGGCCAGGCCTCGGGTCGAGGGCTTTGCCTACTGCGGAGGTGCAGAGGTCCTGCTAATATCTCGCGCGGCTCGGCTTTTTAAGGACACCTCTTCGCCCGGTTGGGCTCTGAATTTATCCCTAGGGACCGCCGCAGGTCGTCCCCTGCCCCCGTTTCCATTCGCCGCGGTCTTTTCGGCCGATTATGAAACTCGACTGCGAACACGCAGCTTAGCCGACTCTCACGGTAATCCCAACGCACGACTTTGGGCGTCGCCAACCGATTTTCCGGCAGCTTCGACTTTGGCCCGTGCCAACATATGCATCCGCGATGACATATTGTCAGTCAATTGGCGCCTCGTTTGCGCGCGTGGGAATTACCTGTGGGACGATTCGGTAAAATTGGAAAAGGAGGGAAATCATTTATAAATCGATCGAATTCAAAGCTTTGTTAATCCGGGGTTAGATACTTCCTGGGGCAATCCGCGCACCTGTTAAGATGGCGAGTTTGCGGGCGTTTTACGAGGGCAGTAATTGCGAGCGGAAGGGCCGCGGCAACGGAAGGACACTCTTCTGGCGAGCACCTTGATTTACCGAGCGATATTTCGCCGGCGCTCGCGCGAGCGACAATGGAGGCGCGGCTGACATTTTGCTCCGAATTATTGCCGGGGCTCGTGGCGAGCCGGTGACTTTGTACTTTTTCGCTCTTCGGCCCGGGCCGGGACGTTTTCTGCCTTTTTGTTTCGCCGGCCCTTTGTTACGGCCGCTTCATCGCGCACCGACCTCGCGGATTTATGCGTCGCGCTCCGCGCGACCGTAGCTCGCCCGGCCCTGGGCTAACTTCGGGCGCCCGTACTCGCGCTCCAATTGGCTCCGCCATTTTCCACAAGAACACCGATATCGATGGATTCATATACATTTAATATTATACTTATAAAATAATACCGTATTCCCCAAGAACTTCGACATTAATGGATATATAAATATTTATTATTATACATTTAAAATCACGGTAACGGAGGATTAAATGTACATCGCTATGTAATAAGAAGTATAGAATTTTACAATGGGAAATTTTTCATATTGTAGCCATAAATTTGACATAATGTAACTCGTCCTCGCACGATGCCGCCCGAATATGGCGGCGAGCCGGCAATAAAAGCGGTTTTATCTTGCGCGTGCCATTACCCCCTTGATTCGGAGGGTTCCAATTTACATCGCTATCGGCGCTTCGGCGAGATAAGTTCATTTAAATAAATTAGTAATGCTATCTCCCGCTTTTAAGAGAGACCGCATGCCAGCTCCGGCAGGGGGGCGGATTAAATGATATTTTATCAATTTTCGTCGCGATTCGCTGCGCCGTCCCCCCGGCGTACGGAAGTCTTCTTTCCTCGTTACTGCCCCGTCGATGAATCATCGGAAACCAGGATTCGCCGGTGCACCCTGAAACCATATATTTCTGTCATTACGGAACCCTAAATATGAGGCGTATCGGTAATCGAATGTTAACTGAAAAAAAATTCCCCGAAGAACGGAGGAGCAGAGGATCGCCGAAGAGCAGGAGATTTTTCCAGCGATCCGCAGACGCTTTTCGCCGGTCCTTTCCGCACGCGGAACGGTGCAGGAAGGCAGGACAATATAATGGGGCATAACAACGGCGTTAACACGCAGTGCCCGACCCCGGACCCGACCCGCGGCAACCCCTGTGAATTACACCTCTGATAATTACTAGAAATTAATGCCGCAGCCTCACCGCCTCTATTGTGCCCGGCGAACGCGAATATCCCGACAAATCCTGCTTACGGTCCCACTTACTTTCCGGTATCCCTGGATATCCCTCTTAACTCTATCGATTTAACGAGGAAAATCAACAGTTTGAAATTCCCCAGCTCAAGAATATTAAATGCGATACTTTTTAGGAAGAATACATCTATTAGTTCAGGGTGCGAATCTTTCCAATGATCGAGGAGCGAAGGAGTAAGCGCCGCCATCTTGGACGCCATCTTGGAGAGACTTCGCAGTATCGGTTTAAAATACATTTCTACTCGCCAAAATGCCAGGAATAATCGAAACAAAATAAAAACGAGGACGTTTAGATAAGAAACGTCAACTTTTGGAAATTTTTAATTCCACAGATATTAAGTTTAATATGTTTTGGGAATAATTTCGAAAAGTTTTTAGAGTGCGGGTCTTTTTCAATGATCGAGGGGTGGCGGATTAAGGGATCGACTGCCGTTTTGGAGGGGTTTCCGCAGGATCGGTTTAGAATACATTTCGGCTCGCTAAAGTGCCAGAAGTAATCGGAACGAACCTTAAGATCAGTTACAAATCCCCTCGGGTCGGCCCTTATGTGTGCGGTGACGCATACGAGCGCATATTTATGCACCCTCTAGGATGCGGCGCGAGCTCATACATATATCGGTCGCATTAGTCGAATCACATGGCGAAGCTAATGCGAGGAAAAAATGAGTTGCCTTTCCGAACCGGGTGGAAATTCTTTTCGACGTGTCTCGGCATTTTGGATTTTCGGGGCTAGGCGGTACCTAGAATAAAGCGCGACGGGGGTCGTACAAGAACCTGAGGGTTCGCTTTCCACGGTTGTCATCTTGACACGGGAAATATATGCCTGAGCGATATATTCCTTCGATGAGATGTGCTCTCGATGTCGGCGAAGAAGGGAAACTTCTCAAGACGGAAGCCGCGTAAAAAGAATCTTTCGGAAGCTCCCTCGCCGGAAGGGAGAAATTACGTCAAAAGTCTCGAGAATTTATCGGAGCACTTTTTGAACTTTGCCTCGCGGGATTAGCATATTATTTCTATGGTACCGACCAGCCGGGGCGCCGGGGAACGACGTGGCGTTCTCAGATATGTAACGCGCGGGAGCATATCAAATATGTTGATAAATGATCCCTTTGAACGGCGAATACGCGGTTCCGGCTTTGGCCCTCTTTCTATCTCCCTTTCTCCGAAAGTGAAGCATTTGAATGTCAGAGGGAAGGAGACGCCGCTCGCTCTCTAGACCGTGGAAGCTTATTTCGGAATCGAAGATTCCGCGCATCCACTTTAAGTATCCAGTTTTAGGTGTCTAGAGGTATCCGGGAGACGCGAAGACAAATTGCCTGGACGAGGGGAGAGAAAATAAAGAAAACGAGTTTCCTTCCGTTCGTCCAATCAGGAGTGACCATTCACTCTTTGATATTCTACATACTCCTGTATAGGAAACTATCGATTGCACCTTGGCCACACAATTCTTATGGGTTTGAATAAACTCTACCTGGGAAATAGCATCGATGTAAGTTATAAATAAAATCCATTCAATAGTTTTTTTTTAATCAAAATCGCGTCTTATGTACCTGGAGGAAATTATGACTACGGCCGTTTTTTCTTTTAATCTGAATACCTTTATCAGTAAACGGTATGGATTGTATTTTTAATTTCATGGTAGGCCACGTCGGTCGGTGAATTCTGGTGAATTGCATCTGTAGGTCAAGGAGATTTCTACTATACTTATACGTAATGTGGATGTTGATCTCTGGTTTATCTCCTATGGGTACATGATAAATTCCCAAATCTCGATAAAACGAAAACCTAAAATTTCGTAAAAATAGATTGTCATAGCTAAATACTAACGTCAGTTGGGTAAAAATATGCATTGTTTTATTTTATTATTTGTAGGATTTAAATATTGACCCACGTTCACATATACGGTGGCGCCACAGTATTTGAACTGCGAAGTGAGCTGAAGTTTCTTATCTTAGTCATGGACGTATCGAAGCTGTGCATCTTCTGGATTCGTGATGCGATTTGAGGTTAAGTGAGGTTAAGTATGGAGGACTGCGAGCTTGATTTTAGTGAGCTTTCGAGCGAACCAGAGTTTGTGGGGCGAATAACACAATTTCACAAGTCGGTGGATAAAATTAAAAATATCTTAGAATTGGTCAACAATTCCCAACTATATGACAGTCTTTCAAATTCGGACAAATTGAAATATAACCTGTACATGTCGTTTAGCTTGAACAGTTTGTTCTGGATGTACCTGCGTATGGAAGGTAAGTCATCAATGTGCAGCATATTTATCAGGAGGACATGAAGGCATAGATAATGTTCCTATACTAATTTGATTTCAGGTATTGACCCACTGAATCATCAAATAAGAGCAGAGAACGAGAGGTTAAGGCAGTACATGGCTCGTGCAAAACAAATCCATGATCGCAATACTTTGATGCCAAGAGTAAACAGAGATGTGGCGCAACGATTTGTTAGGAGCAGCTTATGGGAATCAAGAGATGCTAGAGAAAATCGCAGAGATAACAACACATAATAAATCGTTGACTTGTTAAGTTTAATATGTAAGTTACTGTACTGTTTCAACATGTTACGTTTTAAATAACAAATCTTTTTTACTGTCTAGATAAATAAAGATTTATTTTTAACAAGTTTCATTAACACCTATCCATGGAAATGTGTAATGACACCTCACAGATGGTATTCTTTGTTTGATACGTAAATCAAATAATTTAGAATATTCTCATAGAAAATTAGTACATTACATGTTAAATATACCAGATGACTCAAAAATGTCTAAAATACAATTAATGAGAAAATTTCCAGATAAATCATCCTAGCAGCCATTTACGAATCGATGCCTCCTTTGCACATCCACGCAAATCGAACCACCGATTCCCCAAGCCCATCACGAGGAGGTTGCTGCTCAATGGAGCCCACCTAGGAGCACTAAGCTGTCAACCTAGACACCCATCGTGTCACCTCTCCATCACGAGATGTCGAGGTGTCACGACAGGATTTTCTTCATTTTTTCCCTCGGGAAGAAATGGCCTTAAACTAAACTTTAAAACTACCGCAAATACTTAATATTACATTAACTTAATCTACACAAGGGACCACTTTCTGATAGAAAATTTTCAGAAATTGTTGAGATCCTCACCTTCAAAACATGTCCAAGGGAGCAGAGGCTAATTAGATTATTTTAATTGTCTACGTATCAGAGGTTAGGGTCGGCTTCTGTTATCCAGGGGAATTTCACCCAACCGAAAATATTGTTGACGGTTGGGGGATTGGAACTTTTTTTCAAATCGGAAGACCATAATTACCGTCGTCCCTTCACCCGAACGCAGGTACCTGAATGATACCTTTGTCTTCCTGCTGAACGATCATAACATTACGGATTTTCCCTAAGGTGATGTGAAAAGGGCATCGGAGGGGTCAATAGGGGTCGTATGAAAGTTTTCTCCAAAGTGGATGTATCGCATCGTTAAAAATTTTACCGAATGAAATTTATTTATATATTTACAGAGAATTTTCATGTATCACATTTAATTGCGCTTACTGGAAGTTATGCTTATTAACGTGAGTACGACCTTAGCGACTGCGTAACGAAAGTATGAAATAGTTTTAGTGGAAAGCCACTAGGAGCAGGGTCACCTCGAAGAGTTTCTAAATCGGGCATGGACTCGCCCTACTACTGTTTCAAACCTGTTTAGACTTTATGTCGTAAGCTTGTTCTTTTCCATTATATGTAAGATCCGCAAGTTGTTGCAAGAACTGTTTATCAATTCAAGACGAATTTATGTTTCTCTGGAAGAAAATACGTGCGTTCATAAGTGCCAATCGAAGTGATTATTACTGTATCTTGTGAGGTGTGTTACTAACCTAAAAAGTTATCATTGTTAAGTGTTGTACTGTTTATTGTACTGGGTTTTTCTTATGGAGTTGTATTTCTTTTACTGTAGGTAGTGTAAAGGGAAAAGGAGATGCAACTATGCTTCTAAGCAGATGTTCCAATACTCTGTGGGCTGTACGGTATGTGAGGAATATTCAAGTATTGTCGTCAAACCTCAAGTTGAACGATTCTGAGAAAAGACCAAATGTACGACACTATAAAAACTTTGGTCACCGTCGGGACAAAGAATTTCCATATAGGATGATCTCAGGATTGATCGTAGTATTTATATTTTACTCAACAATTATTGATTGGAAGTGGTAAGCACAGATAGATTTTAATATACTTGAGTACTCCTAAAAAAATTAGACTTCTATTTTATCTCTACTGATTTAAGTTTTGATTATTTGGTTATGTATCGATATAATTGCAACAATTGCCTTTACAGGATTAAGTCAAAGCTGTTTCGAAAAGTCGATGCTGCTCAAATATTGCAGGATGTAGAAGAGGCAAAGGATAAGCAAGTAGATTACGAACCTGAAGAGCCTAAAAAGAAAAAGAGCAAAAAGCAGAAAATTGGATTCCGTGACAGGAAGGTTGTATAACTTTTTTTTAGTTTATCCGTGTAACGGTATGTTTGTTACATGGCTGAAATAACCAACGTCTGTATTTTAGTATCCTATATAATGTTTAGTAAAGTTTTCTTAAAATGTATAATGTGCTTATGTTTTCTTGATAAAGAAACATTTTATTTTAAAAGTGATACCCTAGATATCCTGTGCGTACTCATTCATTCATGATCAAAGATACAACATATATTTAGATCAGTTACCAAATAATCGTAAAAAGTGAGCTAAATTGGTTTTTGACTTTTTATATTTTGTGCTTAAAGAAAAACTGTCCGTCTACCAAGGGCATCTCATTCTGAAAAATGCCCAGGTATTCATGCCAAGTTTCGAGTAAAACTCTTACAAAGTTCTCATTACGAATTTGAAAACTGTATCGAAAATTATATAAAAATTGCAGAATTCTTACAGATAATAGAGTACGAAAATAGGATGAGAGCGTATTCAACGCCTGATAAAATCTTTCGTTATTTCGCGACTGTAAAAGTTACTAGCTTGGAGGGTACTGAGGTCTACATGACGCCCGACGATTTTTTAAGAGCTATTACACCTGGCATGAAACAACCAGACGGTAAAATACAAATATCCTTTAATTACCAAGTAATTTTAGCACTTGATGCATAACTAACAAAAGGGAGTGGTTTGTCTGAACTTTCCATATGCACTATCTTTCTCTGTATCTGTACCTTTAGTATTCAGTACGCCTATTTCTTAGCTGTTATTGCAGACCTGAAATAATTCCTTGGACCCTTATTTCTGAGTACTTAACAAATTTAAAATGATTAATATATGACATTTATAGTTGCCAATCATTTAACATTATCATCAACTACCAATTAATGCATCCTGTGAATGTGTTAATTGATAAACCGATAACTGATGACGATAATAAATATAATAACTGCATGCTGCGTTAACACTTGCGCTTTGCTGTTAATACACAGATAATCGAATACGAAAATCGTATAAGGCATTACTCGACGCCGGACAAAGTGTTCCGATATTTCGCGACTCTTCAACTTACAATGACCGATGCAACCGAGATCTACATGACTCCTGACGATTTCCTAAGATCAATGACTCCCGGCGTTAAGCAACCGGATGGTAATTTCTTAGATCATCTATTGTAATAATTTTTAACATCTTCCAGACATTTGTATCTTTAAATTTCTTTTATACCTTTGAAATAAGTGACTTTATTTCAGCGAATGAGATAAAAATTTTGCAACCAACGCATTATTAACATTACAGTTTGGATAACGATACAAGGATTAAGTAAATAGGAGCTGTATTATATTTATTTTCAGCCTGCTCGCAAAGCTTTTATACCTAATGCTTATAGACATCTCTTACAAAAAAAACAATTAAGTAGCATTTGCCTGAGGTTTGATTTCCTGTATCCAACACTACTCTTTGCATGCAGTTTGACACTTATTGCTTCAAGAAAAGTATTGCTAGACCATATATAAATTAAAGTATCGTCACATAATATATAGATCATCCTGGAATCGTTACATATACATCAATAGTAGTGAGAATCCTAAGGTGAAACTACTGGCTTGAATTCCAACTCGATCATTATTTTTGACAAGGAATTGCACCCTCTCCTAATCTCACATTTAAACCAACAAATATTTTCCTGGTACTACAATAATCTTCCTGTATTTCTAGGCCTCGGTTTAGATAAGTACAGAAGATATGATTGCAAGGTACGTAGAAATGTTGGTATTCATTGAGCTCTTTAGTTCTGCAACGTATGAAAAGTCGTTTAATCGATTGAGATTTTATTACAGAATATTCAAACGAAGATGGAATTGGAATTGGACAAGGACAGCATTTTTTTCAAACTAGGCAGCTCCGGACTCATTACATTCTCAGATTATATATTTTTGCTCACTGTACTATCCAGTAAGTACATGAACTTTTCATTTTCAGTATCCTAACTACAATTATGAATTACACCCTACACCGTGGTATATATTTTAGCATCCAGGCGTCATTTTGAAATCGCATTCAGAATGTTTGATTTGAATGGTGACGGAGATGTCGATTCAGAAGAGTTTGGAAAAGTAGCAACTCTCATTCGTCAGCAGACCAGCATTGGAAACCGACATCGTGATCACGCCAACACTGGCAACACCTTTAAAGTAATATACACATAGTAAAAAAATCTAGGAAAATCGAGGTCCATGTCATTCAAGCAAACATCAGAACATTTTTATTTACAGGGCGTTAATTCAGCGCTGACCACGTATTTTTTTGGACCCAACTTGAAGCAAAAATTGACTATCGAGAAGTTCTTAGATTTCCAGGAACAGTTGCAGAGAGAAATTTTGATCCTAGAGGTGATGATCGATTGATATCAGATGAATAAAAAATATCCTTTGCTTCGCAAGACTGACATTAATTGTTGTTGCAGTTCGAGCGGAAGAACCCTGATGACAACGGGAACATCTCCGAGGTAGATTTTACAGAATTATTATTGGCGTATGCTGGATATCCTGAGAAGAAAAAGGCTCGTATGTTGAAGAGGGTGAAAAAAGCGTAAGTATTCTTTCGTTAAAGAAAAAACATTCTGATATTTATTTCCTCTAACTTAAATAGAACTATTTGTCGTACAGTTTTAAAGACTGTTCAAAGGGTGTCAGCGAAGAGGACTACTTGAAGTTCTTCCATTTTCTCAATAATATTAACGACGTAGATACTGCTTTGACGTTTTACCACATAGCTGGTGCATCGATCGATCAAGGTATTCTTTCCAACTTACTCGATTTATTTTATGTCTTTTTTTTATTTATAATATTGCTAAATTAATGGAATTTATCATTCATTTCAGCTACCCTAAAGCACGTTGCGAAAACTGTGGCACATGTAGACCTCAATGATCATGTTATTCAAATCGTATTCACAATCTTTGACGAGAATTGTATGTACCTTTCATTTAACCTATCGCTGGTTTTAATTTATAAATTAATTAATATTTGCAAATAATATTTACAGTGGATGGTCAATTGAGCAATCGTGAATTCGTAGCAGTGATGAAGAACAGAATGCTCCGAGGTCTGGAGAAACCAAAAGATACTGGATTCATCAAGCTAATTCAGTCTATAATTAAATGTGCGAAAAACTCATCCGCTGTGCCATTTGACAAATAATAGTGCATCTCATAGTATTATAAAAGTGTTCTGTACATAAAACTCTCTGTGCGCTAATTTATAGGGAATGCCGTCTCTGTTATTGTTAAATGTTAACATCACCGATATCTATTCTGATGTCCTAATGATACTTGTCTCCGTTCCTACATACTTATTTATGAAACATTGTATAATGTCATAAGTTACCATTTTGATGTACCTTGTACAGGGAACGTCATGTGCAACGTAATCATTTTATTGTATTATGAATATTAAGTTGCATTTAATACAGCAGTACCTATGTACTATGAATATTTGGAGGAAATGTTTTAACGTCATTCGAGTATAGAAGGGAATACAATGTCACGCGCCAGCTTTCACGAAACCGTGATTATTAGAGCGTAGATTACAAAAACAAACTCCTTCTCCGACGAAGATGGAAAACAGCTCAGTATGAGTTTCTATCTCAAACAAGGAACATCCTTGTTATTCTAAATTTAATTTCTGTGAAATCATCGAATTTTGTATTTCTTTTTTTGGAGTCAGACAAACGTTTAAATGGGTGCAAAACACTTCTTATTGTTGCAAGCTTTAATATGTTTATTTTGTATTATGGGACCAGAAACAAGTGCAGCTAAAATTAAAAGTTTCAATCCAGGTGTTCCATCAGGTAAAGCAAATATATAATTTCAATCTATTAACATAATTATCTGTGACATAAATAATAATGTCTTACAGATTCACACTGGACCGCTTCTAATGTAAAGACTATTGAAATTGAACCAGAGGCCGAGGTGCCAAGAAAAGTTATGGCTGATTTATTACGCAAGGACCAATTCTTTCAGTCAGTTAATATTTTATTTTTAGTAGTAATTTATATGAATTGGATTAAATCACACATAAGCCTTTATCGTTAATTTCTTTTTTACAGAGACATTTTCTTTGAACATTCGGCACCTTTCAAAGTTCAATTTGGTCATGTGTGCGAAAATCCTAAAGAATGGGAACAACGCTTTGAACGAAGAGACTTTGAACTGAATCACCATCAGGGCAAGGTAAAAAGTACTTGTATATTTTCGAGCCAATGATTCGACGATAAAATTTATTAATATTAATATATATTTCAGGTTCTTTGGGGAGACAAGGATGGAGCTTATGGTGAACATTATTGGGATTTAAATCATGGCAAAGGGAGGTAAAACTTTAATGTACAGTAATAAAGTGAAAATTGTTCTCCGTTTTGTAAATAAATGATGGTTGATTACAACGGATTTTATTTTTTACATTTATTGTAAAAATACAAAACTGAAATTACTTCAGATTTTAGACATATGAATAATTCGGACACCCGCGTTAGACTAAACGCTTCTTTGTTCTCGCTTATAAAGATGTCGCGAATGGGATCTGATATGCTTATATTTATAATGGTATAACTTTGATAAAAAATCGTCAAATATATATTTTTTTAATGAGAAATCATTTTTATCGAATAAATGTGGACCGAAAACAAGTTTTCCTCCGAAAGTCTTTTGTAGTGACGCGAGCTGTTCCAATTCGGCCGAGCAATTGACGCGACAAAATTTCAGTTGGATTTTCTGACAAAACTTAAAATCAGTAAAATTTTACCGAAGGTACTTAACGTATCCCGAATCTAAATTTCATTATTTTACATTTGTTCGAATAATTGTAGCCAAATCAGAGATGGAGGAGGATTGTCCGCCTAATGTCTCCGATGAAGATCCTATCGTGCAATGTGAAAGAAAACTGGGAGAACCACCTTCTCTTGAAAACGTGAAAATTAGCGACAATGTTGCGGAACTAATTGAGAATGGTATAAGAGAATAATTTCTCCAGGTTATGTGAATAATTCTTTTAACCAAGTAAATTCTTTCATTATCGATTAATATTCGAATTCCGTTCTAGGGGGCGCTAACGAAGACCGGTTGGTAAGCTACGACAAGTACTGGATCGACAAGCTTCAATGTATGGATGAGACACACACAAAGCAGAATAAACTTGACATAATCGAAGCGGAGAAGACGTTAAGGAGGCTCATAGAATTTGCCGAGGGAGGTCCAGGGAAAGCTTGTCCTCAAAACAGAAATAAAGTAAGTTCGCAGAGTCATTATAAAATTTTTATTTTAATTTAACATTGCTAGACTCATTTTACTCTCCATAAATATTTTAATAATAGGTCTTGACTTTACAGGTGAAGAACTGTTACATCTCGTTTCAAGGTAAAACATTGCAATGTGCGTCGGCAGTGCAGGAATTTGTCGAATGCGTCGACAGAATGATGTACAAGGCTGTCCATACCGACCCAACAACGTCGACCGATAAGACATCTGCTTTTATCGACCGCTTGAATCGAAGATAATTTCACGCATCATTTTTCATTTCACATAAATTAATGTGCGAAATACAGTGACAATGTCAAATCTCTGAGGACGGTACACATATTCGCTGTGCATGATTACTAATAAACTTTTGGACGGTTAAAAACTGTTTATAAACTCGTGTGGATCGCGAATTGTTATCACGTAAATGATATACGAGGTTTATCCGGTGGCCGCGTGTGTCGCCACCTGCATAATCAGATCGGATTTAAACAGCTACGAGGGAGGACAAACCACGGGAGCCGCAAAAGTGGAAGACGCCATTTTAATTTATTTCTCGCAAACAAGTGGGACCCTAATCAAACAAGTTTGCATCCCTGGCAAACCGAGGCTTAATTAGAGGGGGCCCGCGGTTATTTATTAGAGCTCACTCGCCGACGCCATGGCAAAGGTACACTCTTATCGAGGCAGATTATCTCACTCTTCTCCGTTGCTCCGCTTTCATACTGCCGCTCTAAATAAGTATTTGCATTGAAAACATTTCCCTAACAATAGAAAGCCCCGCTAATACGACACTCTTTGTAGCAGCGATCCCGAAACCACCTCTTCCAGCAAAACAATTACCGAATATTCAGCCACCGTTGGAAATCCTTAAAATATCGTAGGATACACCAAAAGGTGAGACAAAAGAAATTTGCATCGGCCGGGAATCGAACCCGGGCCGCCCGCGTGGCAGGCGAGCATTCTACCACTGAACCACCGATGCTCTTGAAAGAACCTGCTTTTAATAACTCCACGAACGATATTGACTATATTTTATGAATATCCGTGACGTTACACATACAATAATCAATGTATAGCGTCATTCATTAGTTGCCGCTACCGCGTGCTGATTTAAACAGGCGTGAGTGAGGGAATAATTGCAGAAAAACAATGGGATGGGATATAACAAAAAAAATGTAAACAATTTTTGTATTCTATACAGCAAATTGCATATTTAGGAAAAAAAGGAATGAGGGGAAAAAGTAATTGCATCGGCCGGGAATCGAACCCGGGCCGCCCGCGTGGCAGGCGAGCATTCTACCACTGAACCACCGATGCTGCTGAGAGACAGCTCTTACAGACATATTGATCACCGGTGATACATATAGTATTTTATATGTGTTTCAGAAATGTAGGTTATAAAACGACGTATTTTCTTATTTTTCCAATATATCGAGACGCATATACCAAGGAATATAATTTTAAGAGGAGTCTGATAATGACGCCAGTTGGCACGAAGTCTGAAAGACCTCATCGCAAAAGATCCGTCCCTTTGTGCGATACGATTAGCACGACGCAGGAAGTCCCGCACCTGTCCTTCCGCGATTTGTCCTGCACACCATGCATAATCATGAGACTGCTCGGCTCATTAGAATCCTAATTCGAGTTAGAGCTAGACTAAGACTATCTCATACTTATTAAAAAAAGAAAGAAAATAGTGCTAACGAAAGTGCTCTCGGACTAAAAAGTGACGTGAAGTAATTTTTGTAATTGCCTTTGCGTCTTTACACTGAAGATTCAAGTTTGAGCCATTACGGCATAATCTGGAAGACAATGTCGACAGATAAGGTCTGAAAAGCGCTGAAAACGAAGAAAAGAATCGTGATCCGCAACATGGCGGCGAACGATAGACTGCCAGTCTTTCCAACAAGAGGCAAGCAGGCCCAAATGAAGATGCGGATAATATCGGCCAAGAGGGGCCACGATTTGCTGAAGAAGAAGGTGAATGGTCTGCAGATGCATTTCCGCACCACAATGGCACGGCTGATCGAGAACAAGACGTCCATGGCGGAAGCCATGAAGGAGGCAGCGTTCTCTTTAGCTGAAGTCCGATTTGCAGCCGGCGACGTCAATCAATTCGTACTTCAGACTGCAGGCAAGGCCCGAATCAAGGTCCTGACAACATGCGAAAACGTCTCCGGTGTTAACATTCGGGTGTTCCAGTATTTCGAGGAAGGTGCGGACTCTTACGAGTTCGCCGGCTTGGCAAGAGGTGGCCAACAGGTGACTTTAAAAGGATGCATTGCGAACAAAGAGTGCATCAAGAGATACATCCGAGACGAGTGATATTAAATTCGAAATTTCGCTAGCAGGTGGCCAAGCTGAAAAGGAACTACCGACGAGTGATCGCATTGCTGGTCAATCTGGCCTCTCTGCAGGACAGCTACAAGACCCTCGACGAAATGATCAAGAACACCAATCGCCGTCTTAACGCGATCAAGCACGTCCTTTTGCCTCGGCTAGACCGCACTCTGAAATATATCGTCACGGAATTGGACGAGCGTGAAAGGGAGGAGTTCTGCAGACTGAAGAAGATCCAAGACAAGAAGAAGAGCGGCACCAAGTTATCCTCCCAAATGGCCGCTGGAGAACCTGCCCCAGTTCGAGTGTTATGCGCCTTGGAAGAAGAGGACGAGGATCTTCTCTTTTGACGAAGCTTTTATTTATTCGAGGCTTTACACGTACACATATTCGATAAACTAAGCAACTTCTCTTTTGGAATTCGCGAGCTTCGGCTTGGATGAGACGAATTACCCCTTTATTGGTTTGCGTGTGTCTCTTTGGAAGGGAGGTTGGAGGGTTGAGGGGTTGGTCGACTTCGGCTCTCATTATCATATCCCGGTGTTTGGCGGCGGTTAAGGTCGGCTTTATGGGCTGTATTTTCTCGGTATAATTGGGCCTCGCGAGTCCACCTTTTCGCCGGATCGGCGCGGCGGTTCTGCAGGCCCAAGTCAGGCCCTTGCCGAAAGCCCTCCAGGCATTTATTATCCTGCAGCCCCCCTTTTTACGGGGAAGAGGAGGAAATTTATTAGGGCGCTCGCTATGTAAACAATAGTGCGATTATAGTCTTCCAATGGCTATTCCACGCCCAACGCGGAAGTTTAACCTGTACCAGTTAAGAGTATAAAAAATATTCAGAGCCGTATCTTTGTTAGATATTTATTTAACTTTACAGATTATCTCCAAGTACACCTTATACAGTTTTGGAATTCCCTAGGAATCTCTATCTCTTCTATGGGATCTTCTACATGCACCATTTCTCTTCTCTCTTGTCGTCCTCCCTCAGACACTATTTCCATTTCCCGATCGTTATCGTTTCCCTTAGTCCCCAATCTGCGATCTCGCATCTTATTTACCCTGAAGAGGTGCGAACACGCCTCGTTGGAGACCCCCTCGATTCCGGCTCGAGAAGCCAGTAAAGCTGGCCCCCGACCGAGGTGGAATGCACGTGCGCGGGTTGTGCTCCTCTCTCGTGATTGGCGTTGCGGTCGGTGGTGGGGGGGCGCGCCGAGATCTGGCAACGTGGAGGGGATAAAGAGACGCGCGGAGATCTCGCGCGGCGATGGGAGGCGTTAGTCAAGCGCCGACCTTGCCGGACGGAGGTTCGAGCGGGAATTGATTCGTGTGGGGCCGGCTCGCTAATCCGCGTTTTCCCCAATTTCGCGCCTTCCGTGACACGGATTTAACTAAATCCCCGACACGTGAATAAAACCACGGGAAGTTCGAACGGTAGACTCGCAAGACTAAACCAAGTTCCCTTAAAAATTACAGTGAGTCGCGGGCAGCTCTCCGGGTCTAAGAAGTGGTGGGAAATTTGAAAAACTGCGACAGAAGTGAGGTCTCGCCAAAAGTGCGCAGGAAGATTCGATCTGCAAGGAACATTGGAATCTTGAAGAAGGGCTCGCCGATTTTTCGATCGACCCGGAGCAATTATTAAAAATAAAATGGTAGCCAGGAAAGGGAGTTCGCCAACAGCAAGCCAGATCTCTTCCACGTTCGTCCTGAGATCATAAGACCATGCGCGACCTGGGGGGGTCACCTCACGGCGTGGGATCGTTAGCGCCGTGGACAACGCGAACCTTGGATGAGGATCCGATCGAATCACCGGGATCTCCAGGATTAGGCCTTCGTTTGCGGCCTAATCCGGGGAATTAGATCTGGGGGGTCCTGGTCTAGCATATATTTTCTTCATAGTCAAGCCGGGGTAGGTCTAGTGTAGGTAGCAACTGGATCGCAAGAGCGCCGTGTCCTGGTCTAGCAAGATGCCGCGCAACACCAGAAAATTCGACATGTACGACTCCAGGACCTGGTGGTTGTTGTTGACGATGTTTGTTAGGACTATTTGGTGCGCCCATGGAGCTTGCGAGCCGATCAGGATCGAGATGTGCAGAGGTCTTGGATACAACGTCACCGCCATGCCCAATCTCGTGGGTCACGAGATACAGGGCGATGCAGACTTCACCTTGCAGACGTTCAGCCCGCTGATACAGTATGGATGCAGGTCAGTCATGGAACCTCTATGTAGACTAATTTAAATTTCTCCAGAATCCTGCCTCAATCAAAACTCCAACCGATTGCAGCGCCCAATTGCACCTGTTCCTGTGCTCGGTGTACGCACCAATGTGCACCGAGAAGGTGCCCTCGCCGATCGGCCCTTGTCGAGGGCTTTGCGAGCAGGTTAGGGCTAGGTGCTACCCGGTGCTTCAAGGTTTTGGGTTCCCCTGGCCGGCTGCTCTGAATTGTTCCAAGTTCCCTCCGGAGAACAACCATCAACACATGTGCATGGAAGGCCCCGGGGAGCCTGGACCGGTCAATCCGATACAGGTGAGAGAAATCCGAAAATCCTCGAAAAAAGGTGCCACCCAGGTGCTGGTTTTGCATACCTGGTCCTGAATTTCGAAGTTTGAAGTGTGGTAGAAGATACCACGCATTCCTGCACCGGTCTAAGCATCGCCTTAACACTGTTGGACAAGTAATTATCATATCTTTATCGAACCTCGTTATTTTAAATGGACGCGTTGAGTATGATGGAAAGATGGGTCGGGACGAGTAGAAACGTTTCGCTTCGTAGCGTCGGCCTGAATCTTTTTTCTCTCTTGTTCAGGCTATAGGGGCTGGCAACGGTCCATGGGGCTGCTCCTGGTACGCCAAATCTGGACTTTACATCTTCCTGAACCGTTCCGGAAGGTGCGCCGCCGCGTGCGACGCTGACATCCTCTGGTCGCAGAGAGACAAACGGCTGACCGAGGGCTGGATAGCCGCTTTTGCGACGGTTTGCTTGATCTCGGTCGCCGCGGCCATCTTGACGCTCCTGAAGCCCAGGAAACGGAAGACGACGACCAGCACCGCCGGTAATTACATCGTGGATATAATTAATGCCACCGTGCATATATTTGGCGCGAGACTCTGCCGAGGTTTCCTGGTCGTCTGACTTGTCGCGTCGATTCCTTAATCTTTTATTAAAGAGATGTGGAAAAGAATTGAGCGCGCGTCTCGGCCATGTTAAATCTCCGGACGTGGTCAGGAAACGGGCTTTGCGTCGCTGTTTTAACATTAATTGCAATCCGTTCGGTTCCAGAGGGAGCCATCGCCTGTCTGGCGGTTTGCCACGCGGCTGTCGCTGTGGGTTATGTCATTCGATTGGCCGCCGGCAGGCTGGCGGTCGCCTGCACGCCGGCCATTCCTCTGCATCCCCAGGATCAGGTTGTGATAGCTCAGCAGCAACAACAGTACCTCACCCAGGACGGCCTCGCCAATCCTTACTGCGCCGTCATCTTCCTCCTTCTCTACTACTTTGGAAATGCTGCCAGCGTCTGGTGAGGCGAGCTTTCATATACTAGATATAATAGATCTAATAGACGTAACAGACATAGTAGGTGTAGTAGATGTCGATATAATAGATATGTAGTGCCTTGCAAACGATCAAGCGGAACGACGAAAGTTTGGGATGCTGAGATTAAAAAGTTCGAAAATTCAATATTTCGGAATTTCGAAAATTCGACATTTCGAAAGTTCGAAAATGCGAAAGTTCGAAAGTGCGAAAATTCGAAAATTCGAAAATGCGAAAGTTCGAAAGTGCGAAAATTCGAAAGTTCGAAAATTTAAAGGAAGCCAAGCCGCGAGCGAGTGTTTACGCTCCAAGTGAGTGGCGGCTCACTTCGTAAAGGTAGATTGAAACGCGAACGGAGGGGATAACAATCCGGCAACTGTGTTGGTTCCCCTGGCGTTGCTAACGAGTCCGCACTCTCGTCATCGTATACATCCCTATCCGCGTTGACGCCGAGGAGCTCCCACGCCGCTCTAGTGGTTGACCTCGGTCAAAAAGAGCTCTCACCGCTTTAGTGGGTGACTTTAGTGAAAAAGCATCTCGGCGTAAACGACTAAAGGGGGAGACTCCGTTTCTTTCGCTCCGTGCACCGTGAGCTTGCAATCAAGGGAGCACTGCGGGATAATACTCTTCAACTCGGTCACCCTGTGCGAGCTTTTTATTACGGGTTACAGAAATTGCAAATAACTAGAAGAAAAGGAAAATATAAAACTACAATTAAATAGTTCGGTTTTTCTTTTTCTTTTTTTTTTTTAATGGCGCGGAGATGCATCGATCGGTTGTTGAGCTGGAAAGAGTTATCCAACGTCGATCCAGTTGAGTGGGTGCCGATTATTTACTGCGACGTTCTTTGAGGTTTAGATGCTTAAAAAAGCGCTTTTGTGGAGCCTTAACGTTTTCCGGTGAGGCTTCCAAAATCGTTGAAACTTTTAAAACGGAAAGGGACAAGAAAGAAATCCGATCATGGGAGAATGATTTTTTGTTTGGTCTTCTTTTTACTTACTTTTGTCTCTCACGTGACCCGTGTTAGTCGAGGATGAACTCTCAGGAGCGTCGCTTAAAGATGGCCGCGGATTCTGCACGCAGTGATTCTCTCTGAACTCCGTCATCTCCACTTCGAATTTTTTATTAAATTCCTTCCATAGTTTGTTGGCGACGTATGTTGGGTATCGTATCTTAAATGGAAAGGGTCTCTTCGGTTTGTTCCTAATAATTGCCTTTGGTCCTTTTTCATGGTGGTACGTGCGAAGGCCTCCACGCTCCTGAAACTCTGAGTTGTACAGGCTGAATGAAGACTGACCGAGGGCGCCGTTCTAAATAAAAGAAAATCCTTTACCCCATGAATCGTAGTTTTCCTCCAACGAAACGGCATTTTCGATCCGAGGAGCATCTCTTGGCGACCCCACCTGAGTGTTTCTTTCGGAGCCACTCGATTGTCCAGCTTTTTCGGAAGAATCAGAAGAGACGCGGAAGAAACTTAAATCTTCGCGAGAATCGCCAGTCGGTTCCGAAAGAAGTCTCTCGAACACGGAATCGTCCCCTACCGAGAGGTCTTTAGTCAAGGGATCGTTTTCCATCGCGGTGTTCTCGGCGAAGGAATCATTTCCCATGGCGCTGTCCTCAGCCAAGGAATCATTTCCCATGGCGCTGTCCTCAGCCAAGGGGTCGTTTTCCATGGCGTCGTCCTCGGCGAGGAAATAATTTTCTATTTCGCTGTCCGCGGCCAATGATTCCTTTCCTTCTGTAAAATCCTCGTCGCCACATCTCACGAATTCCTGCTCGGTCTCCCAGCTGCTGTCCGAAGTCGATAGAATATTTTGGCGACGTTTTGTTCTGGGCCCCTTGACGGTGGACCCCGAGTCCGATGACGCGCTGATAGTCGATACCGTGACGTCCATTCTCGCGGCCTTCTGTACACCTTCATCTGTCGGGGTGCTGGTGATCGGGATTTTCGACGTCTTACGGCCATCCATGACGGCCAAGGAATGAAACCACGTGTTTAAATCACTAGAGATACCTCACAAAAATGACAGATTCTCTCAAGTTTGGTTCCTCGTCCTTTCCAGAACCATACGCCTCGCTACAGCGTCCTCGCATGTAAATAGTCGATGTTTTCACACCGACGAGGTGACTACCTTCATGTTACTGGTCCGATAGTTGGTAACTAATAACCCTGAGTGCATTCGTTGGTTTTGTTATTCCTGAGAAAACGTGCTCGTTGAATACGAGTGACTGTTACTTGTTGGGCATTATTCTTCAACATTGTTTCTGTAACCGAGGTATTCTTCAGGCTCGGTTAAAGATTCGTTTTCTCACAGTGATTTTTGTATGGTTCGGTCGAAGCGATCGTCGATCGGTTGTCACGATGTTAATATTTATAAGCGACGGTCCAACCTTCTGGTGGAGGCCTGTAACGGGGTTTCTAGGTTCCTAGATCCATGAACACCCGGTATAACCTCCGTACAAGGAGACGGGACGAGAGATGAACCTTGTTGCCAGATATGCACGGAGTCAATGGCATTCCATCCCGAAGCGAGCCAACAGGGGGGAAGGAGAGCGCCGAGAGAGACGAGGAAGGCGCTACGTGATAGGCCGAGAGAGAAAGACCGACAAAGAGGAGAGGGATTTTGAGACGGACAACCAGGTTCCCCGAGGTCCGTGAAATGAAGGGCCTTCTTCGCCCGGCATTAAATACAAATGCGCGTTAACGGCCGACCGCTCGTTAACGAGCAGCAAGCTCCCGGGGATTTCGCCCACTTCCGTCCACTTCCGAGGTGGAAGTGAATCCGACATTCCCTCCACCTCGCCATATCAGAGATTTCCGACAGGTGTTCCCCGGGGCGACTGGAGGATCTCGACGTTGACCGGCAGGTGTCGTTCCCCCCGGGTTAAAATGTCGAAAGATTCCTTTATTTTCCTTGGAACCCGGCATTATCCTTTGGCAAACCCTCCGCAACCCGATTTTTCAATCTCGCCGAGGGGACACCGATGCTACATGAAATCTGCAAATATTTCCTTCCCATCAACTGTTAAGAATAAATGGCCGACGTCCGGTTGCCGACATTGTGGAAGTCGGTCTAGAGACTTTTTAAGGGGGTGAGGGAAGTACGGAGAGGAGAAACAATGCACCGGAGGACCGTGGGGACCAGGGGACCCGGACCCCATGGGCTCCACGGGTTCCATGGGTCGTGGTCCATAGGCAATGGCTTCGTGGCTCCGTGTCCGCAGGGCGCGATGTTTATCGGCTCTTTCGATGTAAATTATGGCGGCTCTCCAACACCCTGGGCTGCCTCTCGTACCGGTATCGCACCACGCCAGAAAACGTTCGCATACTCTGCAGGACCCACTCGTCGATCGCCTGTACGAGGGATTCACGGGCACCCGTGTAACGCGTGTTACTCTCTCGTGTGCACGCGAAACGGGTCTCGTTGTCGCGTGTGATCGCCTCTTCCCCTGTTTCGGTCGCCTTTTTTCACCCCTTCGGCCCGCTCGGACCTGCTTTCCATGAAATTCATGAGCAGCCGTGTAACGCGAGAGTGCTTACGCATAATGTTTCATGTTGTCACGTTTTCAGCACGACGCCATATTTCATCTCAGCTGGCGTGAGGTACGGCGGCCCGAATAACTCGAGATGACGTTGGATTTTTCTTCCGGAATTTTTATTCCATTTTATTTTAATATTTTTTTACTTATTCATTTATTTATTTCGTTCCCTCCCTGTTTATATTGAGAGGGATTTTTATTCGATACCATGACTTTGTCCATGGCGTCTTAGTTAACGCCATGGCGTGAGGGCTCGTTTTGGATGGCCCTAGGACACCATGGGACACCATCGAAGGGCTCCTAACTCGCACAAAGGGTTGACGCGTGGTACTCGCGCTTACGACGGCAACACGCGTGCATTTTGCGCTTCTCACACGCACACTGGCGCGCGCGGCCCTCGACACGGCCGGGCCCTCGACTTCCATTACGGCTTCCATTTACGAGGGGGCTCGGGCTCGTTTTAAAGGGAACGACCGTGGGGAAAAGTGAGAGCGACGGATTTCGGCTCTTAACAGGACTGGCGCTACTTGAAAACGTTTATCGACGAGGTCCCGGGCATTGGCTCCTTAAGGCCATTAGACAGTCGGAGGCGTCGCGGAAAAACAAAATGGCCGCCTCCGGATTTTAGATTTTTTCCAATACACATATGCATACATGCAATGGTGCTCCATTCAGGAGTTAAGGGAGTGTCAAGGAAAGTCAATGAAGTCATGTATTCCCTGTTGTTCCTAATTACACTGCGTTCACATGGAAATACTTAAATCTGGGTGGAGCGAGAAACGAATCGCTGTTATGTATGCAATCGTCATGGACAGTTTGCATATGTTTTGCGTTCATATTTTGCACTTCTTCGTGACGTTTGACTTTTTGGAGTTCATATCTTCCACTTATTTCCGATGTTCGATTCTCCTATTCCCATCGTTTGAGTCGAGGAAAGGCTGGATCCCGGGAAAAAATGGTCAGCTGACAGCTGTCTTGCGAGGTTGATGTATTTCTTCGGTGAAGGAATTACTTCTGGTAATCTCGGCTATTTCAGCGGTATTTTGCCGCGTGTCGGGTCGCAGTCGGGTTTCGGGCCCTCTTCTGGGTCGCCTTCTCTTCGCTGTGCTCATCGTTGACCACATGGCGGGTAATCTCCATGGGCCCGGGGCCGGTGGCTACGCCACTGTCCGAGTCTGGACCTCGGATGCCGAGGGATACGGTGGTAGGTAGGTAGGCCGTTTCGTCTTCGCCTCTGGTTTCTCTATTTTTCTCCTGTCCCTCCCCGACTCGCGGGCCGTGCATCTCGACCCAGCCTTGAGTTCCCGGCGTCCCGGGAACAGCCTCGAGTTCTCTCGGCGTCTTGGGAACAAGGGAAAAAGGATAAGTCGGAAGGGAGGCCGGGAGAGAGCTGATCCGTCATCTCTTCGGAGAGAGAAAGAGAGAGAGCGAGAGAGTGCAGCCGAT